TTGTGATCTCTATCCTGTAACTAACTGCTTGTTCCAAGTTCACCCGGAAAAACTAAAAACAAAGCAAATTTATAATCTCTATTTATTTGGTGACTACTTGTTCTTTCTATTTCATTTCCTATCGGGCTTTCTTTTTTTTAACTTTTTAAAGCTGTTTTCTTTATGTTCTGTTGTCTGACAACAGTGTTTATCACAGGAGAGGGGGCATATTCAAGGATAATTATAATATATTTAATGGTCTGGAGTTAACAAAAATTCCCTATTGCTCTGTGTGTATTTTTCTCGTGGATTAAAATAGAATGATATACTTAACTTAGTACTGAGCATGGTAGTTAGACTTTAAAGCAGGCAGACTGCCTTGAGAGTCTATGGCTGTTGTAGGATAAAACACTTGTTTGAAAACTGAGGAGAGTGACAGGTAGAAATTCAGAATTGAACATTATAAGGTAGGTATGTGTTAATAACTATTATAAGCTTGTACTAGAAGCTACTTTAATACAGATGTTAGTATTTTATAGTAATTACTGGAGTTGAAAGCAATGCACTTTAAAGTAACAAGTTAGTGATCAAATAACCTTTGAAGTTGTGGCTGGTCCTTTTTGGCAGTTAATTTTAAATTGAAAAACTGACTTTGAACATTTGCATAAATGTTAAAAAGCCAACAAAACCTCAAAAATGCTTTGCTGTTCTTAGGACTCTCTCATTCCTGGGGATGAGTCTGTGTCTTGCCTTGATGTTCATCTGCTCTTGGTACTATGCTTTGATTGCTATGGTGATTGCTGGATGTATTTACAAATACATAGAATATAGAGGGTAAGACTCTTTGTTTACTTTATATTTAATTTCTTTGTTAATATTAGTTCCCTAACATTAAAGTTGTTATACATTTTGAAATTTTTGAATCGTATAATGAGCATCTGTAAGAACATGGTAAGTTTTAATTTGTATTGTTAAGTGAAAATTTAACAATATTCTCATTGTGAGAATTTAGCATTGAACAAATTGTGTTTTTATTCCATTTAAAAATGCACTGAAGAATCTCTATTTAAAAGCATTGATTTCTAATATATGAAAACATATAAAGTTAAAATATGAAATTAATATAATTTAAAAAATGTTTGAATGTTGTTCTTAATTATTAATGTCCAGGACCATCTTTTACTCTGTGTGTGTGTGTGTGTGTGTGTGTGTGTGTGTGTGTGTGTGTGTAGAG